ATTGAAATTGAAAAGATACATAGATTGTATGAGAGGATCCAAAAAAATGTGTCATACCCATACGATACATCAGACACTAGCATCCTAAAAAGATGAAACAAAGATTAAAACACAAAAAAACAAAGCTTGCAGGAAATAAGTTGCTAGGCACGGCCAGCTTGGTCTTGCCTCTGCCAACCTCTGGTTCTAGGAGCAGAGACAGCTAACAAATTGCTGAGTGTCGTTCCATTACCCAAAGTTACTAGAGTATCATCCATTAATTTCCCAAGCTGGGGTGTGCCTCCATTCTTCTTTTTCTTTCTAGATGTGTAAACCTGTCATTCCTCATCCGAGGACTGGTTCATCTGATCAGTGTGGTCAACGGATTGTGTTGGGCATGTAGGATAGAATGAGCCCCCAGCTCCTGACTAGCAGTAACAACATTCTGATTCTGGAGAGATGGTAAGCATGTCTCTTCAACATCTGAAGCATCCTGGGGATGTAGAGCTTCAATACTATTCTGATTATCGAACCCAAGTAAATCATCTGTCAATATATCAGTCGGAAGAACAGAGAGAGTATTGTCTCCGATAGTGGGAGGTGGATGTGACATCGTGTCAACCGGTGTTTCAATAGTTTGTGGAATGCACTCAGGAGCGGAGGAGGGACATGTATGAGGTGGGGCAGATCCAGAAGCATTTTTACTTGAAGGTTTTAAATTTGGATGCAACTGATAACATTGAGAATGAGAATGTCCAAACAAACGGCAGTGAGTACAATAAAGTGGTATTTGTTCAAGTTCTGCTTGTTGCCAAAATCCCTGACGTTGTGTGTCAATCTATATTTCTCCCGAAAAAAGTAAAGTAATATCCCTTTTCTATCAAAATTCTGGCTTCTGAAGGTCGAGTTAGATTCACTGTAGGCATGTCAGTTTTGAGGGATTTACCGTATACCATCCTTAAAGCGAATAGAAGCTCTTGATCAAAAAGGTGGATCTTCAAACCTGGGAAACGAAGCCAAACAGAATTGTAGGAGGTTCATCCCGTCCATTTTAACACCTTCATCACCTGATTTTCAATTCGAAGAAGTCTTCTCGTAAATAAATAAGTGTAGTCTTCATCATTTGATAATTGAATGAGAATGTGGCGACCATCCAATTTACCGATCTTCCAACCCCCTTTCAGCTTCATTTGCTCAAAATCCTTTCGAATTAGTTCAAGTTTAGGGTTTCCGTAAAGAAACTTACCTACTAAGAACAGTCGGCAAGGCACAGCTAGGGTGGAGATCTCTGCTTCAGTGAGAAAGATTGCAGGTTTATCGTTTTTACGGGAAGCTTTTTTGAGAAATCTGGTTTCAATGCCAAGCGCAAAATTGTCATGGTATCGTTGTGGAAACATATTGGAAAGAGGGGCGGAGACGGGGTTATCACTGGCGAGGGCGGCGGCGTAGGAACGCGCTGATGCCATTCAGACGTTGTCGATCAGCACAAACAGTGCACGTCGCAATTCGTCGCAGGGCGCGAAACAGCACAAGCAGCGCTGGCGTCGTAGGGCGCAAAGGAGGAGCCTTGCGTTGCTGGGCGCGAAGGAACGACGAGCGCAGGAACGAAAGGCGCAAAGGAACGAGGGCGCGAAGGAACGAAGGAACGACGAGCTAAGGCCCGCGAAACTCTGGCGAGCGGCGCTGCGGGACGACGCAGCGCGCGTCTTCTCCGCCGCGGACGACGCCACCAAAGCACAGACGTATATATATATGTATGTATGTATATG